CTGGGGAGGCCACCGCCTCCCTGGGCCTGCCCGGGCGGCCGCCTCCGTAATGCCGCTGCTCGTCGAGGGGCAGCGAGTGCGGCTGCCGCAGTCTGCGGGGGACCTCGTCCGAGCCCACCCGCCTCTGGAGGTGAGCGGGGCCGGGCTCGGGGGCTTCGGGGCGGGCCTGAGGGGAACCTGCCAGGCTAGCAAGAGTCCTCACCCCGCCGTTACCACCCGCTCTCCCCCGAAACCGACTTTAAACTTGGCGCAGCCTTGATGCTCTGGGCACATCCGGAGCCCCGGCCGCCGACTTCTCTTTTCACTCGAAGGATCCGCGGAGCTTTTTACGTTAGAGGGCATCTGCTGAGGCTCCTCTTTTACAGAGGAGGGGACCGGGGCCCAGAGAGGTTAGGTAACTTGTCCAGGGTCGCACAGCACCATGGCTGAGGACACCCGGGACCCCCCATTCCTAGACACGGCGGTCTGTCCCCTCCAATCCGGACTTGGCCCGTTTAGGCAAATCTGGGCACCCGCCCTTGCTCACTGGCACTCGCAGGGGATCCCCACCCTGTGGTGAATGTTGCATCGTCCCCGAGTCTTCAGGAAGCAGGGCGAAGCTTACTCCAGGGTGGCTTCGGACAGCGTTTGGGCGGGAATATCCTGGCGGGGTCCCCTAGTCCTTCCTCCTCTTACCCCCGTACCCCCAGGACATAGGGTGCCTGGTTATTTTCAGCCAGAAGAAAAGGCCCTGCTTTTCCCTGGCTGGACTGTGGTGAGGACCACGCCCTGATAAAAGGGTTTTTTTTTTTTTTTGGGGGGGGGGGGGGTTGTTTGTTTTTTCCTGTTTTTGTCCTGGAATAGATCTCCGAACTCTTAGTCCATGCTTATGCAGGGATTGTTGGGAAGAGGGTTCTTAGGCAAATGTCCCACTTGCCACAGATCCAGTTAAGGGGAAATCGGTCAGTTTATTGATTTAAGAGATACATATTGAGCCCCTGATATATGCTGGGCAACGTGCTGCCCACTCTCCCCACTCTCAGGGTGTTTACAGTCTAGTTGGGGGAATGGTTTTTAATCAAAGGAATGGCTCAAACATAAACTGGTAAGTGCCGTAAAGAAAAAGTGCCCCCTTTCTCTCAGATGTGATGCAAAGGAACTTGACCTAGTCTGTGGGGTTTGGGAAGGCATTCTAGAGGTTTCCTGTGTAACAGTTGTACAGTTTGTAATTATTTTATCTACTTGCTTGTTTTGTTTGTTCTCCCTTCGATCTGTCCCCAGAATGTAAGCTTCCTGAAGGCAGATTGAGTGGATGTATCTTTGTATCCTCAGAGCCTAGGGCATGGAATTTGCGCTCAGTAAATATTTGTTACATAAATGAAAATGATCCGAGGGATGACAAGGACTTAC